ATGTTCCCTTGGCTCTTAGTCGCTCCCACTCAGCGTCCAACGCTGCTTTGGCCTTCGGAGTTCGAGAAACCTCATCGCGAGGTACGAGCCTGGCAACTGCACAGAAAAGCTCGAATGCGATTTGGAATTCGATTTGCTTGATACGCTGGGCGATAAGCTCCCGAATCGGAAGCCGATGCGGCTCAGGTTGATCAAGCACTTTCCGCGGCGTTGCAGGTGCTCCAAACTTCATCTGCGGTGTGGGCACGGCTTCCCAGCTGGTACTTGTGTCCATAGCACAAGGGCTTCGGCATGAACCGAGCTGAGAAGAAGTCGCTGGACTTGTGGTCTTTGGACCTTTGCTGGAGGATGACTTTGCTTCGTCCATTTCTTTCAGCAACTTTGCTCGATCTTTTGGGCCGAGCGTTTTCCAATAATCCGATGGAATGTCCTTGGGGCGTTTGCTGCCTTTGTACGTCTTTACCACTCGAAGACCATCCCAATGGTAACCTTCAGGAATAGGGACCCCGGCCGGCGTAGTGTCGGGCTTGTAGTCCTCGGCTTTGTCGGCTGCCGTGACTTCGATTTCAGGTTCCGCACCCCCCTGATCAAGTTCACCTTCTGGGGCTTCGGATGGAGTGTACTCTGCAAGGTCAGCATCCGCAAGTGGAATCGGATTGGGAGACTCGATAAGGTTGAGCTTTGGGTCATCAGGGATAGCTTCCTTACGATCTTGTTTGACGCGCAACGGAAAACTAAAACCGCCTGGAAGGAGCTCAATTTTCTTTGTCCTCTGGATCGTCAAACTGTTGTGTTCAACATGGTAGTCTAGTGCTTCCAACTTAGCAACTAGATACTCCCCACGCCATTTGTGTCCTGGCTGTACATGATAACCAAGGAACACACCTTCCACCGAAGTGGGCGACAGCTTTCCTGCTGTATTGTCGGCTCGATTGGGGTTGTTCCAGAATAGGACTTTTGCACCAAACGGAATGGCCATGCCTTCGAACATTTCTCCAAAACGCAGTTCCCATGGGCTTGGAGATGAGTCCAGCTGATCACTCGTATTCGTTGCCATTGCAAAATGTTGAATGGCGAGTGGCCAGTACTGGAGGGGCATTCCGGACTGAACAAGATTGGTGCGTGCTCCCTCAAGCATGTTCCTAACTTCCCTTTCAATGAAGCTCTTGGAGGAGTCCACGTACTCAACGGAGGTTTGGTGGCGATACCCTAACTCCTTGATGCCAGCTATCAGCTCACGGGAATTGTCGGTGTAAATGACCTCGACTGCATCATCCGGGGCAACAAAATGCTGAAGAGCAATCACTACCTCATCCGAACTCTTTGACTGGGATGGGTAAATACTCCGGAACTTTGTATGCAGGTCTTTCACAACCAAAGCTACCCGTTCACCACGACTCCCTTCTTCGATGTTCGCGCGCACGACGACGTGGTCGGCGATCAAATGATCACCAAAGGCCTTAGTCTGAATGCGGCTCTCACCCCCTTTCTTTCGTGCCTGTGGTGCAAGCATCCTCGCTCGCTGGCACACTTTGCAGAATGGGTTCTTGGGGAAGTGGTGATACTGGTGTTTTGCGGACTGTGCTTCACGCATCAAGTCTCCGACTTTTCTTGATCGCACCAAACGGCTCTCTTCGTCGTCTGGCACTTCCTCGTCAATGCCTTCATCCTCTTTCTTATCCGACGGGCTCGAGATTGCTCCCGGCATTGCAAACAGCTTCTTCAAAGGCTTGTCCTTCTTGAACTTGCCCTTCCCGAAGACTTTGCACTCGGAGTCGAGGACTGGGACATGACCGTCAACGCGAAGTTGAACGATTTTCTCATCTGGTCGCACAAGGATTGGTGTACCGTTTGCTGGCCACACGAAACTATACCCTTGGTCAAGGCATTTGATGCCAACTGAGAGCACAGCAGGGCATTCATCCAGCAAATACGGCGTGCAAGGCTCAAGTAGCTGCTTCATCTTGACATCAGCTACCTCGCTGGCTTCAGTCGACCCATTTGCAGTAATCAAACTGATGGTGTGAGGAGCCCGTCTTGGGTTCTCCGCACCAGCAGCATCCATGACTTTTCTGCTGAGGAGGTCTTGCTCACTCCCAGAATCGACGAGCCATGAGAACCTGCCTTCCCTTGGTGCTGGACCAGCGACTACAGTTGGGATGGTAGTAGGACATGTTTTCAACTTGATCAAGCTTCGACGCTCACGACAAGTAAGCGATGATTCGGTGCACAGAAAACGACATGAGGGCACTGTTGCGCTATCAAAGCTTCGGACAACTTCAGCCAACTGCCTAGCTTTTACTTTGGCCATGTGGGCTGCCTTTGGGTCGCTCTTGGGCACGCGATCGCTCGTGGCAAAATGCACACTGTACTTGCGCTCACGCTTGACCATCTTGCAGTGTTCCCCGCGAGCAGGGATTGTTCGAATTTCAGGTTTCATAACGAATGTGGTTCTTCGGACAGACGACTTAGACCTCTTTCTTGATGGAGGAAGACAGGACTTCTTGAGACATGACCGTCCGGGCACACCAGTCGCAAGACATGCAAACCGATTGCTCAGGCAAATGGCAGCCTTCTTGGTATCTCCTTTTGCCTTTGGCTTTGGGGAGTCCTTTCTGGGCTTCGTTTTCGGAGCCGGCGCTGCCTTTTCTCCATGTTTGAAAAAGCACTTGTCTCCTCTTCTGCATGTACCTTGTTGATCGTACCTGCATGGGGTCTTCGCCATCTCTTCCTTAGTCATCCGCTTCTTCTCCTTATCTGTGCTTTTGTCCCTCGACTCATTCCGCTCCCGGGATGGTTGGCGCTTCTTGGATGGATCACGCTTGGGCTTTTCATGCTTGAACTTGCAATCTTTCCCTTTTGCACACTTTCCCTCCAAAAAGGCCCAACAAACACCCTTCTCCCGAGTAGTGGATCGTCCGCGCGATGGCGAACGCTTTCGCCGAGGATCAACAGTAGGGGCGGCGTTCTTCTCATGTCGATCACCTGGCTTGAGCCGATTTCGCTCCGCGATACGTGATCGATTCTCACGAAGGCGTTCCCGATCTATCAGATCCTTGATGCTCTGCAGTAGAAACTTGTAAGACCGATGATGGTCACCTTCTTTTGCACGATCGAAAAGGTCAATGTCGTACCTTAGGATTGTGCTAGTGCGGATCTGCCTCAAAAGGATGTCTCGAAGCACGTTTTCGTGCGGTGGTTCGGGCATACCAGCGATGGTAGCGTCCCAGCGGTTGATGAAACGCTTCAAGTCCGCTACAGTATCGCCTACCTTTACCACATTGAGGAGATCTTCAACCCTGTAAAGGCTACCCGCTTCTTCCGAGGTCTTGAAATAGTCGTCGAACATGAGAAGAATCATCCTACCTCGAACCTGGATGCCTAGCTTTGCCTTCTCTTCTTTGTAATTGATGATTCGGTTTGCTAGATCACCCTTTGCACTTCTGGTCAGCGCAGCTGCCAACTTGGTATCCAACGTTGTGAACTTCCCAGGGTTAGACAACCGCTCTTCCAGAACTTTCCTCTCATCAACAGTGTTGTAAACCTCCATTAACCAGTCCCAGGCGGCATCTGGTTTGTCAGAACATGACTTGATTTCGTCCCTCACATGATGTTTCCACTGCCGATAGGTTTCAGGGGTTGGCATATCATTCAACTTGATGTGATCTGCCTCCTTTACCTTTGGCTTCTCATCTGACTCTCTTTGAGTGAGTGACTTGACCAATTCGATCACCTGCTCAGAGGTGATGGCACCTGATGACGCTGGCTTATGGGGTTCGCGAATTGAAGGTGCAGGGCTATGGAACATATGTGTCGGTGTTTTGCCCCCATCCGCTGCTGTACCTCCGTGAACTGGAAGCACGGGCTTGATAGGAGCAGCTGCCCCTGGTGGGGCATCACCGATGATGCCGTCGGCGCTTTGGGTGCGAACAGTCCACTCAAACGTGCAGTAGCCTCTGCTGCAATGGTCTCCAGAGGATTTTTCTTCTTAGTTTCATCATGCCTAGGGGTAGACACTGGTGTGTTCATGACACTTGTTGGACGGTACTCTAGCTCGGGTTCAGCATGCACTTTGGCTTTAAGGTCATCGAGCATTTGCTGCAGGCTATAGTTTTCATTTTCTGCGTCGCGTAGCTCACGTCGAAGCTGAGTTTCCCGCTCATCAAACTCTGCACGAAGCGTTGCCACACCTTGCTCGGCACCGCTGGTGATGGCAGTGACAGTTTGCTGACAATCGTGCATGAGCTGGATGCGCAAGGAGTCCAGTTCTGCTTTTCTGGCTTCAGCCTCAATGGACCTTTCACTCTCTAGCTTTAGGATCCGCGCTTTTGCAGCGCTAAGTTCCCCTTGCACTTGGTTGTAGCTAGATTGAGCTTGCTGCCTTACCGAACTGAGTTCCTCATGATGCTTGCTCGCTACTTCATCGATTGCTTGACGAAACTTGGTTTTTACCGTTTCCAACCATTGTCCCATTATCTCTTTGTGCCTTCTCTCTGCCTCAGCAATGATAGCATCTTCATTTCCGTTGTACACTTGTTGAATGTTTTGCTGCACAAACTGAAAGTAAGCTGTGACAGGAGCTGAACCCATGGGGTCATCTAGATCCACTGTGGGCTCAGTCATGAGACCGGCTGGGACTGCTACCGATGATGCACCGTTCCCAGGAATAGCAAGAGCGTCCATGGCTGCGGTTAGAGCACTACGGCTGATAACCTATAGAAACAGCCGTTAAGCTGCAACTCCTGTTTTGGGCCGCGAGCTGCGAAGTCAAGGTGACATGACATCCTACTATGTGCAAGGTACAGAGTGTACATATTACATGGAGTGAAAATACACCTCCAGCTGATGTAAATCATGTGTGATTCATTTGATTGGTTATTGATGACTTGTGATTTGACTTGAATCCTTCGAATCATACTTGTGCAGGTCCATGTCGTTCGCATCTTTTCCCAAGAAGGACATCGCTGCATTGCACGCAAACCAACCGCATCGGCCGGCGCCTCCACCTTCTCCTGTGGGATGCGGCGAGAAGCCGCATGATTTTCGGAGTCTTGCGCCACTTTCATGCACTTGCCACATGACAAATCTTGTTTGGGTCTCACCCCCCCCGCCTCTTCCTCTTCCTTCGGTCGAGGGTGACCCTTGTGCGCACACCAATTGGCCAAAACGGCCAAGGGCAACACCTGGACAAACGGCCGTCCACCGAAACCATCCACAGATCTCTTGAGGTGATGTCCGACATGGAAAGCGACCAAGACAAGGAGTCTATTTTTTAGCCCGCAGGATCGAGGGGAGCTTCCTTGAAGAAGCGCTCGCACTAATGATTTGGTTCCTAGATGTTTAGGGAAACTTGAAGTTGTACGGTAGATTAAAATGATGGCATGAATTCATCAAGAACAAGTGGTTTGAGCGCGAAGAACACTCTCTGATCTTTGGGCCTTCAGCTTCTCCTTTTCCGGCAACTTTCGTGAGAAACAGAGGAGTACTGTGATTACTTCACGCCATTCGTGCTGTTGATCCATCGTCCAGCCTTGCGAATCTTGCTTTTCCTCTTGTCTGCCTTGTCCCCTTTAGGGCTCGAAGGCTTGGCTTTGGAACCTGCAAATGCACTAGGCAGCTTGGCGCTTCAGCCACTGAGCTCAACGAAGCTGCTCACTCCCAATCCTCTCCCACCCGCCTTCTTTGCTGCCGGCGACCTTTGAACAACGAAGACATACGAAGATCCATGATTCGAATCAGTTGTCCTTCCTGGAAGAGACTGCGACATCGATGCCTACCCACCGGGGCAAAAAAACCTCCTAAGTTCGTCTTGCAAACCTCACCCGACTGGCCGGCCGGAACCAATAGAACAGCTGTCTCTCCTCAACTTCCACCAGATGTGCCAGATGTGGGTTTTTGTTAAATAAGGAGACCTCCCAGCTCAAACCCATGAAAGAATGAACTTTAACTAAGCCAAAATGTATTGGTTGGGTGTCTCCCTATATCAAATTTTTTTTACACGCATGTGGTTCCCATCGACATGTTGTCTTGACCAATTCTCTCATTATGAGATATGCTGATCATACCTCAAACCTGGCAACACCGGTGGGGCCCGGCCTTCGCAATCTGCTCGTAGACGGTGTCCGGATCGGCGATCGGGAAGCCGTACTTCTGGAAGTATCGAGGAGCTTTTGGCCGAAACGAGGCCCGAAATTCATGGATCAGAAATCAATTGAACAATCACTCAAGCTAATTTTGGAAGCAGTCGACATCGGAGAAGACGAAGGATTGGGAAACTCGCTACACTCTGCGGGGTCCATTGAAATTTAAAACTGAAAATGGTCCTTACGGGGCGACGCAGTCCACTTCCAAGATCATTCCGGGAGTGTAGTTCTTCTGGGTGGCAATGGAGAAGTCTGCTCTTGCAAAATTCGGATCTGACAAACCAGGTCTGACGAATCCGCCCACTAGCCAACCCCGCTAAGCAACACTCATAGCGGCGCGCACTTTGCAACCCTGGGGCTTAAGGCATGTGAAATCACTGTTCTGATGACATGTTCATAGGTGGACGTGCGTCATGCCAACATCCGCATCCAACAAGGGCGCGCAACCCTCACAAAGCTGAGCTTTGAGCTTAACCCGCCCGAACCCTGATGCGTCACACACCTCGTGCATGGTGTGTATCGCAGCAGGTTCTCACACTGCAAACCTTCACAAGCTCTTACTCCAGACTGTGAGAGGACTATAGATGGATTGACCTCTACTTCAACCACCCGTCCTGCGTGCTTGACGGTCGTCTCAGCTTCGACGGCAATGATACGCCTTTCCATACCCTGTGGCAAGCCTCCCCGGGCCCATACATAACATCTGGTCGCGCGTCCGGCTCCATCGCTGGTTGATCTCTTTTGATTGGCGCCCTCTTTCTGCACAACTGTTGCGTAAGATCCCCTGCCAACCTCTGGTGATTTTTCACCGATCAGTTCAACTCCAAGAAACTTGACGTTCCACGTGTCTTAAATCTTCCTTGTCACTGCCGACACCATCTTTGCAGTCATCATCACCAATCCACACAATCTCTCATTGGCTTCTTCATCTTCAGTTGGAGCGATCATGTTGCGTTCGGACCCCGTTTTGATGTCGATCTCCATTAGCTCTGGCTCTTTCTCCTCTCCTCCGGGCTGCCTGCTGGCAGCGCTTTCACCCCTCTAGGCGGCCTTGACAGAAGTGGATGCGATCCACTTCATCTCCTCTTTTAGTGGCTCCCCAACTTCCACAAACTCGTCTCGTCTCCATCGTGTCAAAGGGGATCAAGAACGACATGAAGTGGTTGAGCGTCTGTAACAACAGTCAAAAAATGAGATGAACATGGGTGAGACGGATGCCACTCCTTCGTCCGGCGAAGAATGAGTACCAGTGGTCAACCTGCACATATGACGGCGTGGGACTGCCCACCCAATCATCCTAAGGGCGCCCTCAACTTCCCCACAAGCTGGCTCTGCAATTGATTGAGGAGGAGGAGGAGAAGAAGAAGAAGAAGGAGGGGGAGAAGAAGAAGAAGAAGAAGAAGAGATTCATGCTCTTCAACATGTCATCGGCCTCTTTCAGCAGTTATTTGATGGATGGTTGTTCCTCTGCTCCTCCATCTCTTCTCCAACCTGGACCATTTTCCTGGTTGGTGCCCCAAACGATCCAACGGTGTTGTTGCCAGGCGTCTAACAGACCATTCTTTCGCCACCTCGACCAGACATCTCCAGCACTTGGCGGGGTCCATGCAGTTCAAACCTCAAGAGCAGATGATTGTTTCAGTTGCTGATGGGTTTGAATCTGAATCTGAAGCCCAACGATGATCTTCAAAGACTCGCGCGTTGCGTGACAAGTTGAGGGACGTGAAGATGTGCACAGAGAACCAGAGCCCACTGCCTCTCGAGGACAGCCATGAAGCTTTCATGAAGTCCTTGAACTCGCTCTTCACTGAACAGTAGAGCGAGAGTTTTCGAAATCGCTTCAACCCCGACCCCTTCTCTTTCACTCTTCCGTCGTCCTCTGTCCTTGGAGTAGGCCTTGAAGCTCTTGCATCCTCCTCAGGCCTCCTCTCTTTCTTCATATTTCCTTCTCTGCTGCTCTTCTGTCCCTTATTCTCCGGAGTCTTCATCGACGAGGTGCCAGTGTGGGCATGACAGTGCCATGACTAAGCCCGCTTTGCCTCTTCGACCTCACCCTGCTTCCGATCCTCTCCCTTATTTCCTCTCTCCTTTGGCAAGATTTTCTTTTATGGCTTTGCGTCTCCTTTTCTGGAGCATTGCAGCGGAGCCTTAGTGAACACCTTTGGGCTTATAACCTGAAGGTCCCTTTGATCGAACGAAGCTGCCCTTCCAGCGCACTCCGCCAAGCGTCCCTCTTGTCCAACGCTCGGGCTCAGAAAAGGCAGCTGAAAACACTGCTCTGATGACATGTTTATGTGGAGGTGTGTCATGTCAACAAGATCAAAGGCAAAATATCTGGCGTTGGTTTACAGCTCCAGCAAAGATCGACACAGGGCAAACCGCTGGAACTTGCTTTTGATCTTTCCAGTGGGAAGAGTTTCTCTGTGGATTCCCATCCTGTGTGCCCTGAAATGGGAGCTTCAGAGATCCAGTCTCGGGATCGACCCTCCCGAAAGTTGAAGCCTCGCCATCGTGCCTTTTGAATCTCTTGGGGAAAACGGGAAGATTCAGGCGAAGCAATGTGTAGATGCAATGAATGGATGACTGACTGTACCAATAGGTCCCACCGTCCCAGTCCCATAAGTTTCGTTTCGCTTCCGCAACATCCTCACCTGGAGCCGTTGGTGAGCTTCTTTGAAATCCTTGGACCACGGGAATTCAACTGACCATTGGGACCCTTCTCGGAAAAACCTCTGAAAAACCTGGCCTGCTGTCCTACTCAGGTGGCTCGTGGTCTCCGAATCCTCTTGGGGTCTCAAACTTGTGCCTCTACTCCCGAAACGAAGAGGAGAGGAAGCGAGTAGGGAGCATGTAGGGGGTCCAAACTGTTTCCGCTTTTAAGCACGCAACAATCACGGTGCCAATATCTATGTAGTGAAGTCATACAAACCTGACTCTCTTCGTCTTTCGACCGCCATGAAGCCCGAACAAAGCTACATAGGTACATCATCATGGTCTACCACCAACAAATACCAATCAAAACTCTTCGCAACCAGCGCAACATAGCGCAACCATAGCTCTAATATATGTCTTAAGTAAAGAATGGTTGAGATCGTTTCACCCTCCAGCCACACGGAAATCATCCAAACCCGTGAGAGGCACGTCGATATCTAGCTCGCTTGGAGGAAACCAGATTTCCTCTGCTTCTGCCTTTTCCTGGAGCAGGGCCAAACCTTTTCAGATCCGGGCTCCCACATGATCAACAAGACCTACGGCCTTCAGCAAAGCTCTGCATGGTTTTTGGACTGCCATCGCTCCAACCAGAAAGCCCTTTCTTGGTTATCTCTTGATTCAAATCAAAAAATATACCAATCAGCCAATCAGTCAAGCTTAATCTTGATCGATGCTCAAATCATGTCCTTCTCCTCCTTCTCTTTTGCCTTGATCTGTGCCTCAAAAGACTCGATGTGCCTATGGATTTGGTTCATTGTCCTGTTCGCTCAGGCCATCTAATCAAATCATACCTCATCTCCTGGAAAACAGACCAGCTCTTTGGCATCTCCACATCTGAAACGCATCGCCGCTCACGGCGATCCCAAAAATCCACGGGACACTCTGGGTTCGACCACGGCTGCTTCATCCTCTTCGGAATCGCTGTCAGCCAGACCTGGTCCACTGCTCTCTCAGAGAGCAATTCGTGCGACGATGGAAGACGGACAAACGGCCAATTGGATCTTGTCTCTTTCCCAGACTGGTGGGCTCAGGGTGCATCTTGGACCTTAAAGGGAGCTGAGTCTTGAAGGTTCGATGCCTCATGATTAGAAAAGAATGTCACACCGAAAAAAAGAGAAATACAGTAAAACCTTTGGAGCTCCTGCAATGCCAGCACCCAAATCTTGGAACATCCTTCGATGAGCATCACCATCCAGCATTGATCTTGAATCCGCTAGGCATTCCCCCACTGAGCTACATCACTGTCGGAATCCATGTCATCATCGAGGCCAAGCTTTTCCTCGCTTCGATCAGTCGTCCGTTCGAATCCGCTTCGAGCTTCGGGCAGGAACTTCGCTCGCAGTGCTTCGGCTGGGGCGGCCGACCGGGCGCAGCGCGCGGACCAAGTCGATCAAAGCCTTCAAATGTTGCACCTGAAAACTGACTGGTGCGAGGTAAGTAGGGAATGAGGCAATGAACCGCTACTGTAGGTACCCTTGGACCTATGACCTAGGAACCCTTTCCCGGCCTCATCCCCTACAAAAAAAATGAGTCAAAACAAATGGCCCCACGATGCCCACATCGGACTGTCCAACGGAGTGAAGAGTCCATGTCAACGTCTCGTTCGGCTCTCGTTGGGTTGTAACCGCGGTGTCGAAGTGGGAACCGTGCCACCGGAAACCATGCAACACAAATGAAGCACTCAAACCATTACACAGCAACCTCTGAAAGCTCAACTCTTTGACTCGGCCCAGGGCAAGAAGATTCGTCTCTTGGTGCCACAACTTGGTGTCCTCAGCACGAAACGGTACCAAGATGTCCCTACAAATGCCTCCCCCAGAAGCTGAGATCTGGACAGCTCCCCAGTGTGCCACATGTGCCTACGAAACAAACGCAGAAGCTGGAGGAAAGAAAACCGAGACACAAACAAATGAGCATGTCTTCCTTGTTACCATTTCTTTTCTTCCTTCATGGGTGTCTGATGGACCTGCACTGGGTGCATGATTGATTGGACTGGGATATACCGCTCGGGGGTAAAGCACTGCGCTGAAACTTCCAATTCCCAAAATTCTGTTCAGTCAAATCTCCCAAACTTACAGAGGTTTTACTGAGCCGGTTGGCTGGACGATCCGCTTTCATCCCATCAATTTGTCTTGTATATCCACACAACGGAAACCTTTCTTGTGCAAATCCACTGCCATGAACATCTCCCCCACCTGAGGATGCAATTGACGTGCATGTTGCATCACCTCAAGCGTCCGCACGTCGCAGGACGTCGCCGGTCACTGAGGTCCACCCATGGGACCGAGTCCAACGGCGGCTGAACGGCCGAAATCGAAGAAAACCTCGAAACGGATCTATCTTCAAGAGTAGTTTTGAAGTAGATATAGTAATTATATATTTGTATCTACCATAATATGAAGGAAACGACTTGAAAATACAATGAGATGTGGCTCGTGTTGACCTGGAGTCAAAGCTAGTGGACATGTCTTCTTGCGATCACCGAATGATCGTTCCCCTCCCACGGTCAACATCCGCACAAGAAAGGTCAAAAACATGGTACCCGGCCAAGTACCGAGTTTGGTGAATCTTGGAGTTGCCTAGTCGACTGATCCATCGAGCCCATCCAAGTCCTTTGGAACCAAAAATCACTGAGCCGACCGAACGAACTTCAGAGTGGGAGCCACATCGATAAAGTCCTTCTGACACTTGAAGAAGCGCTCTTGGCAGTTCTCAGTCACCCTCAGAGGAATTCAACCCAGGGACGTTGGGCTATTGGAACAAGAATGGAAAAAAGAACTCATATCAAACAAATACATGTCACTAAGTTTGCTGAAGAAAAGCATCGAACCCAGGCTTTTCATTCTCACATTCCACGTTCTTTTTTGGGTAAGAGCTTGGATCTTTGAAAAGTTCAGGTCCGAACCGCCACAAGGGGATGGCCTCACCGCGATATGTGCGGTATGTCTTCCTTTCCTTCTTTCGCGAGATGTGCTGTTGTTGCGGAAAACACGCAAGAAAGAATATGCCGTGCACCTCATCGGGGTTTCCACCGGCAAAGAAGATCTTGGAAACTGCTTCTCGCTTGGCAAGCTGCTTTTTGTCCTTGTCGGCCATCGTGGAAAAGAGGAAACCTCTCCCAGGTTACAAAAAAAAATGAGTTGGCACAAAAAGAATAGGGTTTGAGATTCTTCGAAGCTCCTGTATTGTTGCCCGCAAGCACTATGCTGCTCAAAACCGCAAAAGCCAAGCTGAAGTGAAATGGTCTCGATTCGGTGAGCGAGCCTCTGGAGACATTCCGGTGAAGTGCTCACAGGTCTCTAATGCCCAGCTGATTGACAATCATGATTAAGTTGATTCTAATTAAATTCTCATAGCTTCTTGTTTCTAATAGCGAACATTGTTACTACTAGTAAGGCACTTGTTACTAGTAGCGATGCACTTGTTACTAATAGCGAACATTGTTACTATTCTCACCCCACACACCACACGCTTCATGTCCCCGTCCTTTCGAGCATCCGCCAGGACGGCTTCATCCGCCAGCTGCTGCTGCCGCGAGGGCGGCAAGAGCTTTCCCTCCGCGTCTGGTAGATCGGGCGGACGTGGGCATTGCTTCAGCGCCTAGTCCGGTGCTTCTTGGCGTGCCGTGAGAGGGGGAGTTTCGGATCAAAATGGAAGAAAACAAAAAATGTGGTAATTTTCTGGGTATGTTTGTGGGTTGCTCGAGTCTGACATCCCAGGGAAAGGAAGAATCGGTCTAAAACCACGCTTCAGCAAAGCACAAGAACGCACAATGAAACAGGGCTTCCACACCACTGGTAGAGCGTTGGAAAGCGCTTCCAACTTCTCTGGGTCCTGGGTTAAACCGCGACTGCTTTCTAGAAGCTGAGAAACCTTCAACGGAGACACCGGTTCCACCGGACCAGGTTGTAAAGCAACGCAAGTGAAACACAACATATGAACCTTCAAGGCTGTACCCAGGGAGCCAAAAATGAAGAAGCAGATCGACACGGCACAGCCTGACAGGCCTATCCAACAGCCATATACCCATGTTGAACGAAGACCAAAAGGACTGCCAGTTCTTGCTGTAAAGACAGGACCGGAAGGGTTGTCTGCCTTACATGAGCACAACGCATTCTTTCACTAGAAACAAATGATTTCATCACGCGTGCTTTTTGCAAATGTCCACAATCTACATCTCTCCACGACACCTGACACATCTCAAAATAGCTGCCATGGTTCCAAGTGTGGCGCCAGCATTCACGTCCGGCGCCTTCAACAACATCAGGGCAGACTGAAGAACTCGCCCGGTACAGGACAGTCAACATATCAGGACAGTCAGTGCGAAACTCAACCGCTTCCATGGAACCTACATGGTATATCTTTCCATGTCCTTTGGAACCTACATGCTTGCATCTGTATTGGTGTGTGTTGGGCCCAACATTCGCCTTTCCCCAAGCTTCATCGCCGCGCCGCAAAAATAAAGGAAACCATGGCCAGCTCTCCCGTCTGTCAGAAAACCGTTTCTTGTTGAGGAAAACATTGGTTGCCTGTGCAAAAATAGAAGCGTTCATCATGGCAAAAACAATCCTGTTACTCCTGCTTAGACTGTCTGGACACAATGTCCTTCTTGCCCGCTGACAAGGGTTTCCTTGTTTCCTTCCAAAGGCTAGAAGCAGGGCAGGTACTGAGAATAGAAAATCTAAAAAGGTCCTTGCACAGTTTGTCCAACTCTGTGTTTTTGATGAAGGCTATCTGGCTTCCCTGCGTTGACTCACAGTCAAATGGAGACCAACCGCTTGGCAAACCAGGTCTTTCTCCGGCCCCAGGTCAGTGGTGAGGGTCTAGCGGTGAAGAGATGAAAAGTGAGATGAAGGGGACTCTTTGATCGGATCCACTGAAGACACAAAAACACGCAGCCCAAATCGCAGGCCACCCAATGTGTCCGGCCATTCTCCAGCAATTCAAGGCAGTGAACAATGTGAACATCACCTGTAATGATGGATCAAACGGTCCAATCGTGCGATGAATCATATCCATCAGGGGGTTTGGCGTCCTTTCTGAATCTTTCTGAAAGCCAGCTTGAGCTCAAAAAAGAACATCACCGTACCGGACATGACCAGATCCTGATCTATATATATATATATACTGTAAATAGATTGTCCTCTGACTCTCAAATGCCTTGGTCAGCTGATGCATTCCTGAAGCAACATCTCCAGCACACCCAGCATCTATATCCCGTAACTCAAACGATGTCTCTAAAAGTCTTGAAAAGATTCAGCTAAGCTGCAAGAGGGACTGAATGGTGTCGCATACCTTCTTTCATCGATGTAATCCACTGCCGTCCAAATTCTACTGCAACGTGTGGAAGGTGGCAGATCCTTATGCTACAAAATCTGTCACCGTCATGGCCCACGTGCTTCATCGTCGCACTTTTGTGCCTCTTTGCTTGGTTACTTTTGGAGTTTGCTGAGGACACAAAACTTAAAGGGCATTTTCTCTGTTGTTTGAGGTATTTTTGGCAAGCATTGGTATCGACCCAACTTAAAAGTGGAACATGTCTGATCCTTGCACCGACGCAGCATCCAGTGCATCACCCTCAATGCTCCACAAGTTTGGAGTCCTGAGACTATCCGGTACCTGTCCACTATCCGCTACCACCTGAAAAAACGGTTCCTTTTTGCATGTTGCTGGTCTTCCCAGTGGCACAATACCACCTATTAAAAAGTAGAAAAGGAGAATGAGAAGGAAGCGGCTGAAAACATGAGCCAACAAGCAACGCGGGCGTGTCACACGAACTATATTGAATCGGCAAGAAAAACGGCATGCAACTGCGCACAACACAGGCTCCCCTCTCAACAGATCAAATCCAAGCCAAACCGTTTCACCTTATATATGGTCCGTCCGCATGTTTCCCTGGACTTCGTAAGCGTGTTCAACTCCAAACTAAAATCAAACACTGGAAATGTCAAAAAAAGAGAACCAAAACACCTACAAAACACTAAAACCAATCCAAACCATAACGATCAAAAAAACTGGCAAATTTTGATTCCATCGTTCATGATGGGAAGCTTTTGTGGATCAGGCATTGAGCTGCAAGCATCTTGTCCAAGTAGACCTCATGTGTGCAGAAATCAGTTCCGTATGGGGGTCCACCTTTTCGTATTGTGTGCACCTTGTGGACATTTGGCTCCCGCCACAGGGGAACACGGAAAAAAGTGCCTCGGTGAGAGCCTCAGTTTTCGTCTTGGGCAAACGGAAGCGTGAGTAATGTCCAACCCAAACTACACCAAGTACAAGTTTCGTTCTTTCCAGCTCGCTAAATGTGAAAGCCAACGGGCCACGGTCTCCGACTGGGATCTTTGGTAGTGAACTGGATTTTCATTCCAAAACCACGCAAGAGTGCCTGCAGGACTGAGTCTGGGATGCCCTTTTTTTCCACGAGTACGGACGCCATGTGGGCGGTGCGCCCAGGTCATCATAAGAAGGATGGAGACTCTGCTTATTGGTAGGGGAGAGCAACACAATACAAAAAACCCAACCCAAAAACCACCCCAAAAGAACAAGCACCAAAGACCCCAACAACCAATGTAGCAGAGTTTCGCCTGTACTAAGGTGAAACGCGTGAGACAACGAGTGACTGACTAACTAGGTGGGCCCGAATTCGCGACAAAAGGAGTTTGCTGTATCAGGACTTTGGCTGTCGTCCTTGAAGGCCATTCAAATGTGGCCTTCGTATGTAGACAAGGGGAAGAGTCACCCTTGCCAGATCCGGTTGCGGGCACATCAGCCTTGTTCGTGAATCACCAAGGCAGCATGTGCGAAAGAGTTGCAGCACGAAGGTTAGTGATGATCGGAGGAAGTCATCACGTTGCAATGCTTTGCAGGCCGCGGAAAACAGCATTTCAAAAGCACAACCACTACAAATGGCTGCACGAGCAAAAGAGGCTGTGGCCAGGTATGGAGACAGAGGTAATAGACATCGCAACGAAAGTGCGGCTACAGGCAACCAATTTACCTCCCTCCGGCTGGGGGAGGCATCTCACGCCCACCCTAAAGGCTCCCGGGCAACAAGCGATGGAAGCCTGGGGGGCGTGCGCGATCAAACTTGGATAGAGCAGTCATCTAGTCTATCCTCTGGCATGCATGGCCCTGGTGAAACAGGTGAAACCAAAGATATATCCTAGCATGGTTCTTGCGCCATCTTTGTACAAGATTGGCTGAGTGCAGACTCCCACAGACAAAGATCTGAGGTTCTCACCTGGGTGCCAATCGTCTACAGAACTACTGCCACGCGCCAACTTCCGGCCAAGAGCTGAGGCTCACAGCCAGGTCGGCTCACTAACAGCTAGTGTGAAGACGGAAAGGGCAACCAGTTGATACAGTTTATTTGGACAGCTTTGGCAGGCGTGACCTTCGTGTACTGGCAAGGTGTAAGTCTCTTCTGGTTTGTGGGACAAAGCGTGTGCACGAACAGGCTTGGAGGGTGACGAATTCGAAATTGCTGATAAGTATGGGTGGGCGAACTAAGCTAAGCCTGACACATAGCCTTGATCAGGGATCATGTGCAACCACGGCGGCCAACGCATGGCAGGGCAAATGGCAAAAGCATTTTCCTCTGCATAAGTCCCCCGCCATCGGTGTCGGCCTGGGAGTTTTGTGAGCCTACAAAGTGATGCGCAATCCAGGAAGGCCCTACTGGCGATGTAGTGCAGTGAGGGCGCTATCGCAAGTTCTGGTAACGCAGCACAGTTCATAAAAGCCTTAACTCGGATGGTATGCAATGAGTACGGCAGTCTGACCTCACAGAGGCTGGCACAGTGCACAAAGGTGAACTCCTGGATCTCCTCGACGCTTGAGTTCGAGATGTCTACATGCTTAAGTACTTTGCAATTGTCACAGGCATGTGCACCCAGCACTTGGAAATCTCGAGTTAGCTCCAGTGTCGTGATTCCAGTCAAGCTCAGACAACCTGTCGGCAGTACTTTAGCCTCAGCCTGTGTCTGCGGCTCCTGGTGGCGGCCGTCCTCCAGAAGGGCAAAGGTGGCTAAGTTGATACAGTCTCGAAAGAGGTACTGCCCGAATGTAGTTGCACTTCGAAATTGGTTGACCCCTCCTCCGTTGGCGTGAATCCTCTGCAGAGAGCAGCAATCTGCAAATGCTTTATAGCCAAATTCCACACAGCCTGGTGCTGTGATGCTGTTGAGCAGTTGACACCCTCGGAAGGTGTTCTCCGCAATTCGCACCACAGTACTGGGCATCCTGACCACTCGAAGATGTCGGCAGCTTTGCCAGGCTTCAGCTCCAATTGCGTTTATGCCTGCTTCGACACTGACATGGCGCAGGCGTGGCACAGCGATAAAGGCACCCGCGGGAACGATTCCTGCCAGGTTTGTTGGAACTTGGACTGCTTGTGGGATGTCACGATACGGGCATCCGTCAAAACTTTCCTTCGAATGGAGGAAAGCGAGGCAGTCCCTAAGCACGATGGTAAACTGCGTGTTTGTTTGCAACACCTCCCATATCGGGTCTTCGAGATACGTTTGCATTGTGGGATGTACGAAGTCCAGCGTGCATCCAAAGACATCGAGGTCAGTTACAGAGGCTAGATAGTCCACTACGTGGTCTTCTAGGTCCTCCAGTCTGTCATATTTGGCAACGCTCGTGGTGATCTCCACCACCGAGCCCGACAGGGTGGTGAGCACCAATCGGCATTCCTTGACAGGCTCGCTCTCCCTGGATGAGACCTGGCTGCAGGCACTAGGGGTCGCCATGGGGTCTGACTTGTACGAGATCTCGTGGTTTGAGCCAGGACGTCGCTGCCACGAAGCAGTCCTAATGTCCTGCCCGTCCAGGTGCAAAGGGTCTGCTAACTACCTGACTGCTCAAGCGCTATGCGCAACCTTCTAACTGATGTATATGGACACGATGAGCATGAGATCGGAGGGGTTGAACTTCTTTTGCCCAGGACAAGTGCTGAGGCACTCGCCGAGGGTTAGCACATTGCTAATGAACGAGGGTACCCGGTTAGTAAAGCCCTTTATGGAGCTCTTCGTCGAAGGCATCCGAGTCAGTATCTCTCGGTGGAGCAGTTCAATCCAAGACTCTCGCTCAAAGTTGTCACACATCAGGAAGGTATTATCTTCAGCTTGTACGCCCCTATCTGAGTCTGCTTCATCTAGCTGCGTAAGAAGTGAGAGCTGTTCACAGCCGCAGAATGCACGAATCCCAAAGTATCGAAGCATCGGCGGGATAACCACTTCCTGAAGTGATGTACAGCAGAGAGGCTTCCTTGCCAATTCGCTGGACCTTCGGAGGCAGCCAAATGTCGACTAGGGCAACACAATACGCAAAGGTGGAGCTCCAGATGGCAGTGATGTCAGTACACATGAAGTCTACTTCCACAAGCCGCTTGCAGTTCTCACACGCCTTCGGGCCAATGAAATGAAAACGGAGGAAGGCGGAGACTTTCAATGCCGGCCCGCAGAAACTGCCATCAGGGAGGGCCCTTGACTTCTGATTCCTAGCC